TGCGGCCGCGATCTATGACGGAACACGCCACGCCGTTGAACGCCCTCTCAACAGTCCAGACCACTCGTCGTCACTCCAAGTCCACCTGATGAAGCAGCGTCCGTCCATCTGCGGGTTGGTCCGCTCGGGGCGAACGTCTCAAGACTACACGTAACAGTCGCTACGTACGAACAGACTCGTCTACGATCCACGACCCCACGCAGCGGTGCCACCGACAGACGGCCACGACTCTTTTACCTAACCGGGTCCCTGCTGTCGCCGGCGAGCTGGCTGACTGAGGTTTCACGCCGCGGTAGGGGAGCGGGCTGCAGCCTGTCTTGGCCTTCCTCCGCCTGTTCCGAGACGCGCACCCACCACGACGCTGCCCACCAGAACCCTGAAGCGACCAACAGGTAGCACCAGCTGTGCCTCAACGGTTCGTGGACTCTCGTGGCGTCCGATCCGTCCTCAGTCGACGTAGCATGTTGAGGTAGTCACTCCGCAGCACTCGTGGTCGTTCACCCCTCGAGCGCCATTTCCTTCACTCGTCCTTGAATTAAGATCGCGGATGCTCTACTGAGCCCGATATTGCAACTAGCTCTGCGTGCAGCATTATGCGTAAACGAGCGGAACACCTGGTGTTGGTGGATACACTTCAAGATACAGACAGCCGTAAGCAATACTTATACACACAACAGTATGTTTGCACGGCATCTGTAATACAAAAAAACCCTATATTAATTCCTGGCTAACATCTATCTTAGACTAATGCCTGAGTTCACGCTTCAGAGAAATGGATTGTTTATGCGTGTGCGAGTCGACTGCTCTGCGGAAAATGTGCATAGCATTTGGTGGAGACTATACGTGTGTATAACCAACCACATGAGAACTGGTTTATAATGTTCATACCGAAAAGATGTGAGGCGGGTGTCCCATTGCCTCCCCAGTTGACTTGTTGTTGCTAGTTGTTGAGGCTGCTGCTGCCTGCTGAGCACTGCCTCCGCCATCCTCACCGAACCCCACTCACACCTCCGACCCATCCTCTACCTCGCCCCACCCACCATTCCCTCTCCTCCCCCTCACACCATCCTCGCCACCGCCAGGACATCGAAGTAGTCTGGAGTGAGGTACTCGCACCCCCTCCCCAGCACGACCCTCCCAGCCCATAGGAAGACTGCTGGAGATAACACCCAGACCCTGCAACACCGGCCACCACTGAGAAGTGGAGCTTGTTTTGAAAGCTGATTACTCTACTACCATCCCTCCAACACCAGACCCTGCACTCGTCTGCACAGGCTCCAGACGAGACGACGTCGGTTGCTGAGCAAATGACGAGACCTGCTCGTACCCAATTCAGCCCCTCCATCCCCCACCACTGCCAAACGGCTTAGCTATGTGTTGTTGTTGTTGTTGTTGCGACTGTGGAGCCATCATCTTCGAGAGTCTTCTGACTCCCCACCACAGTCTGACAGATAACACGACCCCACCACTGTGTACTGTTGCAATTGCATCATCTGAGCTGTTGTTGTGTTGTATGTTGTTGTTGCTTGTTGTGTGTCGTTGTATGTTGTGGGAGCCACCCAGCAGTCCCAGGGTTCATATCCACCTGGCACAGGCCCGCTACCATGTGAACGGAACCAACACACCTGTGGTGTGTTGTCCGCCGGCCAGGCCTCCACTGCTGTTTGCATGGCAGTTCCCTGCTGCTGCATGCGGGTGCATGAGCTGCTGAGGTGCTAGCGGAACCACTGGCCCATCTGCTCCCACTGTTGAATGACTGCTGATGAAGTCACCCATTGCGCCCCTAGCATTGTGGTTGGCCTGCAGGTTGCTGTTGCCACTGGCACTGTCCACACATCCGTCGGATTGGCCATCTGCACATCGACTGGTCCTGCCCCATCTGCTGAGGCCCCACCATACCACCAAACCGTTGCAGCAGTTTGGAATTGCTGGCTTAAATCCGCCATACCCCCCAACCACCTGTCTTAACCGCCAGTCCACTGACGCTTGACTTAGTGGGGGATAGTCGTTAACATACACAAAAAGGGTGTGGTCAATAAAACATAATGCCGGCCACGGACATGTTGATTGCTGCAAGGGGATGAAAAGTCGTAAGAAGGGGTGCAGGTGTTGGGGGGGAGGGAGGGGGGGGGGGAGGGGGAAGGAAGGCACGTCAGGGGGGTCCAAATGGTTACTACAAGGGAGAAAATCACGATCCTAAACTCACTCCAAGGCCTCCGAAGCTCCACGCGCTGCAGCAGAAAAATGTGAGTGATAAGGGAGAGAACAGTGGCGATTACACGCTGGTGCAAGGGGGGGTAAGGTCGTCTGTTGGACCAATAGGAAAGAAAAAGAAGAAGGCAGCGAGCTTGCCATATCAGGTGTCCGAACGAATCCACGGAATGATGGCGGGGAAAAACTGTGTCGTAAGAATGCATCATTAATATGATGCACAAGTAACAGCCATTGACATGGCACAGGGTGGAGTGCCAGACGAAGGGCCGGACTCTCTGTGTCTGTGATAACTGGCGTGTGCGGGCGACCACGAATAAGGGGGGTCCACCTGCTTAGTCAACACTGAATATTAGATGGGTGTGTATGTTTTTGATGATCGTGATATGTGTGTGTGGGGGGTTATGTGGAATAGTCAAGTGGGTGAGGATAACAGACAACTCATATTAAGCGACAAAAGCAATGCATGGATGACAAATATATGCCCGATGAAGCAAGGACTAAACAAAGAAGGGGACTGCCACGGGCCCTAGAACAAAAATGATTAGCCGAACCACTTAGTGACTGATGAGGGGGAACAGGGTTAGCAGTCGAAGGTGCGCTAACACCAATACTATTGGATTAGAATTCCTCAGCTGACATACTAATCACTATACTTACTAATTGGAGTGTACTATTGCATAGACACAATAGCAGCTAAAACAAGGTTCCCCTTGCTCTAAAATGTACCTTCTTAGTGAACCTCAGCAGCATATGGGACAAACCAACCTTAACAGGAGTACAAAGTACAGTAAACAAGCCACTAAAGCACAGGGAGGTGGAAGATTTTGAGAGCTGGACACACAAAACAGACACCACGTCACACCAATAACATCGGAAAATAATACAAGAACGACTACATACTAAAAAAGAGAAAACACTAACAAACTCCGGGCGTCAGTGACTGAAAAAGTCTAGTGCGCTACAACTACCAGTCAAAACCTGGTCTTCTCCTCTCTTCCTTACCAGTGCTCAAATCATGCAGAGTTGGTTTTTAAAAACTTCCACTCACCAAACGGGTCGTCATACCCGCCGAGTAATCCGAGTTTCTGCGCTGAACGAAGTCCGAATCCGGTATTGGCGGTGCTAGATAACGGTGGAACGGAGTTGTTGGGGGGTCGCGGAGATCACGGGCACAGCAGTTGAGGGGCAGAGGAAGGTGGCTGAACCACAAACTGGCCCAGAGAGTCACCTGCTGATCTCTGCATAGTTTATGTAGCACACAAAATGCACATCATAGCTGTAACGTACGATTACAAAACACAGAGTGTAATGTGGGGATTTTACTACGTGCAATTTAAGAAAATGAGTATAGAGGTCTTTCCATGTGCAAATTTCTAGAAGTAAGTATAGAACCATATGTGAGAAATAATGTTGGTTGTTCGACAAGAACTTTGTTGAGGGAGGAGGGAGAGATTTTGGCTTATCAGTCGGTCGGGGTACTGCTCATGGTTGTTCTGGCCCTCTCTCTCCCTCCTTCAACACCTCGGCCAACTCCGATACCCACATCTTCCTCTCGTATTTCGAGATGAGCGACTCCTTTAAGCCCACTTCGTCCTTTTTCTGGGTTCCTTGTCTTGTCTGGGGGTTCCCATCGCCCCATCCACACGGCAATTGTTGCCAACATGAGAGGGAAAAAAGGAATAAACACGAGGGAAGAGAGAGAAAAGTAGTGAGTGTGGTATAAATTCCTATAGGAGCATTCTGGTATGTGTATGCATCTCCTAACATTATAAGCAAACGGCGAGTAAGACACACAATATGAAGGTGTGCTGTACACATATTGCATAACAATGCCCACTCCAGACAATGCGCACCAACATATATTTTATATATATGCGTGGAACCATCTTATGAATGGGCACTCCAAATAAGGCGCCCCACCTCTCTATGAACTACACTTGTTTCAAAGCTGGCTGCATTGAGTTCTCCTCATTCCTTCCCGCCATCCTTTATTGAGCAAGTCACTCGTACTTCATATCTCCCAAAACGTTGTACATGGAGACATGGACTTTACCACTTTTGGAGGTCTTCAGCCCAACACGCCTGGAAGAGGCGAGAGGAAGGAGAAAGAGATGAAAGAGGGAGAGAGAAGAAGGAAGAGAGAGCAGAGGAGAGGAGACAAGGGGGCAGAAGATACAGTAAAGGAGAACACCCAGACAAAACATCCATATTATAAGAAATGTCATTGTGTACACTGTATACAAGAAGGTGCAGTATAAAGTCTTACCAACCAACTAGAACTTCCCATGACTCTCAAAAAAAAAAGACATTACACATGGACTTGTGACTACTAGTTTTGTACTCTTTGCATGAGCGTATCTCGACGGTAAAAATAACACTCAGGAGAGCCCGGGACTGCACAGATATCCTCTGCAAAGACGCTCGGCACGCCCACGAATCCGTGGGTGGTCAATGTCGGCGTGGTGGGCCCACCGGCTCCTGGCCTCGAGACACCTTTTGGTTGTGTGATAGGGCCGTGACTGGCGGAGAGACTTGAGAAGTTTGCTTCTGTCCTTCTTTTCTCCTGTGCCATTAGCCGGGCGGGCCTCCTCTGCCGTAGTGTTTGTGTATTGTAGATAGGAGCTTGTAGTGGTGTCATTTGATTCCCTCGCAGGCAGGAAAAGACCAGAAGCAAGGAGAGTAGCTAGAGAGAGAGACAAATTCGTTCGGCCCTCTGCCGTACGATCACGGTGCTGCCGGATTTTGTATTAGAGCGCACCCCAGCGCCACTCGGTTAGTTTAGAGGACACGCTATATCGAAGAGCATCATTCACTGGCCACAGCTACAGTGCGATATCAGAGCTCAGGAGATGTCGGCCAGCGCGAGGCGGGAGTGACCCGTGACGCTGACGGCTCTTCGTGGAGTGGCTCCAGGCGCTGGGTCTAGAGGTGAGCCGCGCAGCAGACTCGAGGGCGACCGTGGCCGAGCAGACTGCCGAGACGAGCGCTTCTCCTCTGAATCACACCCATCGTCAACAAGATCAGACCCGGCAGCGCGTTGTGAACGGTGAGCCCGATATCACCCGACTGAATCATCATTCTAGCTCTGCAGGTTCGCGTTGGTCTTCTCTGCAGATCAACAGCAGAGACGTCGAGTGGCGACGCGGAGGAGAACATTCTGAGGGTTTCTGCCAGGCCTGCACCACCTTGGCATCAAAAGGCTGCAGCCCATTCATGCAATGTCCACTTGTGTGGGTTTGATAGGTGGAAGGAGGGTCAGAGTAGAGTTGGAAATGTCGTTGTACGACACTTGTCACAGTGCATAAGCGCTATTGCTAGTGGCGTTACTAGCCATTGGTGTGTGTGACTAGGCCAGGTCTTCCTACTAGATGTGAGTGTGTTTACAAACATTGATGATACATCGTGAGTTTCCAGTCTCTCTCCCACCCTATAGAGCCACGTATATTAGTACAGTGCTGTTAGCTTTTATGATGTGTGTAGTATTATGGTGTGTATTTATGGCACAGATATTCAGACCTTGCTGATCTGTCGTGCACAAATAGTAGATTCACTCATCCATGTGTCTGATCACCCTGCAAGAGCTCTACAAGTAGCTGCTGGTAGGAGTAGCTACACTGTGCTGCTATATACATTTGCATGGTGCAACACATGGTGTATTACTGCTGTCTGTTCAGGCATGTGTCTACGGGTATAGACACGTTCTCGCTGTCACAAGCGACGTCTCGAAGTAGTGGCAGCTGTTCTCGGAGCACACGGATGCCTCGGAGAACACCAGTAGTCAGGAGGAGTCGGTCGGGAGGGGAGGATGGACTGGGAGGGAGATGGACCGGCCTTCTACAGAGCCATCTCCCTTCCCTCGAGCCAACGAAGATGAGTCAGTATACGTGTGTACTCTGTACTATAGTGGCGACTCCAGCCTCATCAAATTGAAAATTTTAGGAGCTGGTTTGTATATGTTTGAGCCAGCAAGTGTAAAATATGTGCTTTCCTAGCCAGCAAGTGTACAAAATCTGTGTTTCCTAGCAGCACGTTTGTAAAAATATGTGTTTCTGGCGATCTGCGAGCTTTTTCTCTCTGAGAAAGTATCCACGGTACAATTATAATGGTAGCTGAGGCGTATACTGTTTTAAGCCACTTCAGAAGTTGAATTGTATGTGTGTGTGTGTGTGTGTGGTGTGTGTGTGTTAGTGCACGATGTGAGAAGGGAGACGTGATCCAGGTCTGAGCAGATGGTGGATGGGGACCTGTGGGCAGGGAGTCCTGGACGCGCTGCGGGTGGTTCCCCTGGTCACCTACGCTCAAGAAACGTCACCGCAGACGTCGTCTTGTGTGTGCATAGGCTCAACAGTGTGGCTCCTGGAAACTCTTTCATGTATTTGCATGGGCTAGCATGTGTAAGTACTAATGGCGACTGTCTGGTGTTGCTACACACGTAGTAGGAAGTGGATCTCAGAACCTCTTTCTTGACAGTATAGACGCTAGTGTCTATTTGCGCTCGACTTGTACAACCGTCTGGTCTGGTGCTGCACAACTTTAACTCCTCTCACTGCCCTCTGTGGTTACAGACTACGGTGGGTCAGCAGTCATCCGTTGGAGGCAGATGGCCACGACGTCTACCATAACCTGGTCAGTGAGATCCTCCCACTACAGATGTTTGTATATAGACAGCAGAACTCTGAATAGAGGACACACACTCTGGACCATGAACAAACTGTCGTCCATATGAAGAGTGTCCTTTATTCGGTGGTTAACTAACAACTGAACTGTCCTGAATGGAGAGACGTTCTTGTTTAGGGTAACAGGTTCTAGTGTGCCATCGTATTTGGATAAGACATTGTCTTATAGAGTACATGTAAGCACATTATAGAGTGAAACTTCTCTTTTTTGCTGTTGTTCAGGTAGTGAAGGATATCTTGGACACAGAGCAGGCCTATCTCCACGATCTCCACGTAAGCCTACTCCTCTTTTCTTTGACATGTACACAGGAAAATACTCATTACATTGTGTGGGTGGTGCATATAAAACACGTCCTGTGTGTGTTGTGTGTAATGGACCACTGTTACTTGTCCTCCTCCGCAGTCCTTGCTCTCGGTGTACCTAGATCCTCTCAAGTCAACCAGCATGTGAGTGTTCACTCCCCCACTCCACTCTCACGTGTACTTACTACACTATATACACTGCCCCAGTCACTTAGTCACTCACCTTAGCCCAGTGTGTGTGTGTGTGTGTGTTCAGCCCATGGTTAGGCAGTAGGATAGCTTGATTTGGAGACATTAGATTTCAGCCCTAACATATGGCCAATGGTGGTATACATTAGCTATATATCTGTGATACAGCTCATTTGGGAAATATACCTGGATTTATGGGCGAAAATTCCCACTGAAATCTTGTTTTACGCTCTCTTTCACTAACACACTCCAAACACACACACACACACACACACACACAGATTGAGAGGGACCGAGCAAGAGCTACTAAGTGGCAACCTGGCTGAGCTAATAAAATGGCAGCAAGCATTTCTCGCATCCCTCGAGAACGCCTCCAAGTCAGTTTATTTTTTCTCTCGCGGTAACAAACGGAAATGGCAACATGTACACACACTACATGTTCAACTTGTAAATGTCAACGTTTTTCTTTCACGTTGTCATGTACATTCTGTTTTTCTGTTGTAGACTGCCCATCCCACAACAGAACTTCGGAGCCATATTCTGCAAGGCGGCCAAAGAGGTAAGGGGGCTATGTTAGCCAATTACAAAGTGCTTCAAGGGAAACTTGTTATGGAAGTATGTATGTATGCAGTTGTATTATCCGTGTGTGTATATACACGTGAGTTGTTATTGATGTGATAGGTGGAGGTGCTATATTCGATTTATTGTGCTAACCATCCAAAGGCAGTTGCTGTACTGACTGACAACTCGTAAGTTCAAGCGCGATGAATCATATCAGAGTCCTGATTAGAGGGGTTCTACCATTTCTTGCAGGGACAAGTTGTCTTCCTTCATGGAGTCGCGTGGAGCTGCCAGCCCCGGAATACTGGCGCTCACCTCCAACCTCAGCAAGGTGGGTGTGGCTCCGATCCACCCCCACCCCTTTTCATTCTCTCTCTCCCCTCTCTTTCTCTTAGCCATTCCGGAGACTGGAGAAGTATCCCGCACTTCTTAAAGAGCTTCACCGACAACTGACAGTAAGCAATGCTCTCTTAGTTCTCGTGGCATTTTCGTGTAACAACCTCGATTTGTGATATTTGATGGTTGTATTGTGTTGTGTAGGTTTGTGATATTTGATGGTTGTATTGTGTTGTGTAGGTTTGTGATATTTGATGGTTGTATTGTGTTGTGTAGATTTGTGATATTTGATGGTTGTATTGTGTTGTGTAGGAAGGCCATGCAGACATAGAGAATGTCTCGAATGCTATCACCACTTACTCTGGAATATCAGTGAGTATACACCAATGCTTTGTTTGTGTTGTTTACACTGTTGTTGTTGTTGTTGTTTACTAGACGAGGACGCAGGAGCTCCGTAAGAGGAAGGAATTGGAACACGAGATGCTGACCAATCAAGTCCAGGGATACAGCGGAGCGGTAAGTAGAGAAAGAGAGAGAGAGAGAGATTATGAACAAAAGAGTAGAAGAGGGATTGAGAGGTGATGGTTTATCCTCTGTCTGTGCAGAGTCTGAGTGAGCTGGGAGAGTGTAGGTGTGTTCTACATGCCAACGTGGCCGTCACTGCAGAGGTCAGTCAGCTCACACCACAGTGGAACCCCTCTCTAAGGACACAACCAAAATGAGAACTCCAATTACCTGCATGTATATACACCAAAGACACCCCTGAAATGAGGTCACCTCTCTAATAAGGACATCCCTGATATGAGGACACCTCTCTAATAAGGACATCCCTGATATGAGGACACCTCTCTAATAAGGACACCTTTTCTCTCCCCTGGAACAGTTTCTTAAAGACACCTCACTAATATGGACACATTCTTCGGGCTTCTGTCCCATTGGTGTCTAGATTAGAGGGGGTCCCATTGTATGCCACTCATCACAAGTACAGACTGTTCATGTTACATACATACATACACAGGAGGTTGATGAGAGATTTCTGCTAGTGTTTCCAGACGACTTTGTCATTCTGGCAGTTGGCATGAGTCTCAGTGGCTACGAAATGAAGGTAAAATCTAGTCAAATCTGCACATAGTTTGCTCTTTGGCCCATTCACTATGTATGTACAGTGGAACCTCAGAACAAGGGACACTATGGGGCCAACAATTTGTCCCTTGTAGAGAGGTCGACCCTACAATCTCGGAGGTCAAATAATACACTAAAGTATTAGCATGGGGTTGAAACAAGTGTCCCTTGTAGAGAGGTCGTCCCTATCTCTGGGGTCAAATGATACACTAAAGTGTTAGCATGGGGGGGTTGAAACAAGTGTCTTTTGTAGAGGAGTCGTCCCTATCTCGGAGGGTCCCTTATCGGAGGTTCCGCTGTATTATATAGGTCTTTCTACTCACTGCCTCTCGTCTCTCCAGGCGAGGTTTCCACTGTCAGCAGTGTCGGTGAAGAAGGGAAGTCACACGGAGCAGTGGCCGTGGGGTGTGGAGGTCTTGTATCACCAGGAGACCATCCACATATCTCTCACCTCCCTCAGAGACCTCAACACTCTCATCGACTGCATCGGTCGCCAGGAAGGAGTCCCCACCAAGGTCAGGTCACCCTGTCATCAATGGGTTAATTGAAGTTCTCACCCTGTCATCAATGGGTTAATTGAAGTTCAAGCTTCTGTTGGTAGTTAAAATTAAAAGAGTGGTTGAAATAAACTACGGTGCTTCACCCATACATTACTACTAGACAAATACTGCTATAAGTTACATGCAGAAGCTGCTCTATGTGGTTTATGCTAGTCTGATGTAATTGTCTGTTAATTGGAGGGTCTTACCCTTACATGTACCTCCGTGTTCCCTCGCACGCCCCAGGCTTCAGTCCAGAGGTCGGCCTCGTCTGTGAGTCAGCGAGGGCTGGGCAGCTCGTCTTTCATGAGGGCCTACAACACGCGATCCCAGCGCCAGCCGAGTGTCTCCATCCAGAGAGACCACAACTGGGGGTTCCGTTCGCTTCGTCCGATGGCACCTCTCAATGCTCCTCATCTCATCGCTCTCAAAGACGTGAGCCCTCACAACATATGGGGGCATTTTGGCAAGCAAGCATGAGCAACTCTTTAGAGCATTCAACAGCATATGCCTCAGTGTCATAATTATACAAATATGGATACGTAGACTTGCTATATAAGATTTCTGTCTCTACTGCAGACAAACAAGAGTCCAAAGGCCGGGAAAAAGTTCATCTATCCAGCAGTTAAGAGGAGTAAGTGATTATGTTGATCCGTTTAGTTTTACTCCCTCTATCTCTCTCTTCTTTCCTCTCACTTTCTCTCTCCTCTTCCTCCCCGACTAATCAAGGGCGTTCCTCTAAGGCAATAGAGGACCTGCAGGTACCCGGAGTGCTGGTCAGACCTAACCCAGCAGAGACCAGGATCGGGGATACTGCAATTCTCAGTGTCATAGAGGCTTACTGCAACACTGCACGATTTAAGGCTTTCATACGTACGTAACTTTGCTCAATTCCATCATTCTTTTTAATGCCCGCCGTGCAATAGTGACTATTTCCAATCCATTTGTACATGATGAGAAACAGTATTTTCCATTCCGAAAACATTTGTAAATTGTATTTACCTAAGTGAGTATATAATTTGTATTTTTGCATGATAATCTTAGCAAAGGTGCACTGTTCGTGCAATAGCAGAAATAGCTGCAGCATGTCACGCTAACGTTGCTGCTACGCTGGACTGAATACTTTACGTTTTTCTTCGAAATGAAGACCAACGCTCCGAAGTCGACGATCGTTGAAAATATGGGATACTGGTGAGTTAGAGTGCCTAGCATACAGTGTGGTGGCTTTATATTTGTCCATAGGAACACTGTACCTTTGTTCTGATGGTGGTTCTATAGCTCCAACTAATGCCCACCCCTTCGTGTATATACACAGCTGGTGAACGTCCCAAGATGCCGCTGCCATGCCAGGCAGGAGTGCAGCCGGTTGGAGTTACCAACTCGCCAACCCTCCTCACTTCTCCAACTCATCACCGTCTTGGGGAAAGAACGAGCACCCTCCCCCAATCGTCTCGCCACAGTAGCCAGGCATCTCCGACCACACCTCCAGGTGGCGGCAGGTTCTCCGGGTTCTCCGGGAAGAAACAAGTTCCGGCCCCTCTGCGCTCGAGGGCCAGTTATACTCATGAGTCAGCAGTCTCTACGACTCCTCAGGTCCATTTCCAGTTGGACACCCAGCGAAAGAGGTCGGAGAGCCTGAACACTCACGGAAAACTGTTTTGAGTGAAATCGTTAGAGAGAATATTATCTTACATGATATATAATTATATTATGTGGAATGTTTGTCTGTATGTAGTGGAATTTAAAATTCTGTCCCATTTGTAGTGAAACTGAGAAAGTGATTATGTTTTTAAAAGAACTAGTGAATTACTTTGCATCAATGAAAGCATGAATGGTAACGGAAGGGGAAATACTGATTTCTCTTCGTGGCTTCAATACTTAAAACTGATGTTCTTTTTTCTTGCTTTCGACAGCTACTCTAGGGTTGAGTGCCAGTGAAAGAAGGTATAAAGTTTGATAATGTGTGGATACTAATTATCACTATATACCGTATTATTTTTGCTATAGCACAATACTTGTTGACCTGCAAGTGAAAAAGCTGGCTTCTGTAAGTTTTCACCGACCGTGTGATGCAATTCTGATGCAGGTGTCTGTGCAATTTCCCCCCAAAAACAGGAGATTGAAGAGTTGAAGCAGTGTCTTATGCAAGAGGTGAAGGCTAGAGTTGATCTTGAGACGAAGGTGCAGGAGGGCCTCTGTGCTGTCTTGGGGAAAGCCAAAACGTCATAGCCGAACTTCACAGTGTGAATTTCAAAATCATCAGACAACAGTTTTTCCGTTTTCAGTTTCAGTTTTCAGCAGTTTGGGTGGTGTTCAATGAGTATATTATACGCATGCGCGCGACCCTACGCATGCGCACAACTTGTGCGCGTGTGTTGCGCGTGCCGCCGCCGCGCGCTCTGAGGGAGGCGTGTCCGCGCGCTATTTAACCCGCTATAACCCACTATAGCCGGCCTCCGAGGACGTCGTGAAAGGTTCTGTTTCTGGGACTGCGCCGGGACCGTTGGGCCGCACGTCATGCAGTGGAATAATTACATCTCTTTCCTTCTCGTCCTCATCGGTACAGTATATTTCCATAGCCTAGCTCTAGCTAGTGTGAACTCGGCTATACCACAGGTTTCCGTTTTCTCTCTAGTCGCAATTGCGCTCACAAGATACGTTTCCCAAGATGCTAGTTCAGGAGACGCAGGTCGAGATCAGGAGTCCATGGTATCACAGATCATATCAGAAGTCCAGGGACTCTTCAAGCAGGTAATTATCCTAAACCTCGAAAACAATAGTGCCAATCGATTGAACTAGCTATATACCCTCAGTTAATTATTGTGTCATTGGAAAATTAGTCTGTTTGGCATTCTCACTTGGAATCCCCATGTTTAAATCTGCCAACATGTTTGCCAGCTAATGTGCGAAAACGTGCTAAAATTTTTAACCATTTTTTTACTGTTAGCTATACAGGCGAGACTGCTGAATATTTCAATGTTTCCAGTAATAATTAACTGCCTGGTACTTTCTGCAGGAGATGAAAGAATTGGAACACAGAATCCGTCTCCTTGAAGAGGAGTAAGCCACATACCCACACATACCATATATAGTGTGGGGGGAAATCATAATATTATATGGGAGGGGTAGTTATCATTATATACTATTGTTTGTGCTGTAGTTCATTAGAATATCAATAACACTTTCATAGTTGTTACATAGCCGTAATGTGGTGTTCATTCAGATGTGGGTTTATAAGTTTCTGATAAGATATCTCTTCTGTTGCTCTTCAGTTCTATTTTCAAGGGGAAGAGAGAAGCCTTCATCCCACTGAAATCAAGGTAAGAAAGACCATTGTAATAGAAGATCTTTTCTTTACACGTCGAGAAAATGGCCCAACCTCTCCAGTCAATCATACCCTCCTGTGTTTCTTCTGCCCGAGGGAGAGAGAAAGAGAATTCTGGTGAGCTCTAAAAAAAAAACATAGTCGCTCCAAATTGACGATAGATCAAATTTCTCCAGGTTACTGGTGGTGCCGGCTTTGTAGGGTCTCATCTGGTGGACCGACTCATGAGAGATGGTCACGAAGTACGTATGTATAAGTGATGGATCATCTCTTCTTAAAGGGAAAGTATAATATAGCAAAGCATAAGGGCTGAATTTAGAGATAGAACTAAACAATAGTGGCCCAGTGCAAGAATGTTTCCATTTTTAGTAAGTTTGGTCCTTTTATTCCGCCATGTTCTCTTTAATGATACTTAAACATTTTGGCAGGTTATAGTTGTTGATAACTTCTTCACTGGCAGAAAGAAGAACATAGAACACTGGTATATAGCTCTACAAGGCTAGCTGGTATATATATTCTAGGACTAGAGCTTGTCTATTGCCATAGGATTGGCCACGATAATTTTGAACTAGTAAACCACGACATCGTCAACCCTCTCATGATAGAAGGTGAGCCCCTCACACTTCCTGGACCCCTCAATTACAGTCTCATTATGTATGTATGTATGTGCAGTTGATGAAATATACCACTTGGCGTCGCCTGCTTCTCCAGTCAAGTACATGTACAATCCCATCAAGACTATCAAGACAAACGCTCTCGGAACGCTGAACATGCTGGGTAACTTACATATAGCACTATGAGATTAGTTAGTACTTCTAATGTACTGTACTATTGTGGTTCTGTTTGTTCAGGTCTGGCAAAGAGAGTAAAAGGAAAGATTTTACTTAGCTCAACATCTGAAGTATATGGAGACCCAGAGGCAAGATTTGAAACTATGTATAATGTTTTACTTACGTGTGTGTGCGTGTGTGTGTGTGTGTGCAGGTTCACCCTCAAGTGGAGGAATATTGGGGACACGTTAACCCCATTGGTCCCAGAGCCTGCTACGACGAGGGGAAAAGAGTAGCAGAGACGATGGCCTATGCCTACGCTAAACAAGTACAGAGATAAACTAACACCTTCGTGACAGTGGTTCAATTTCGTTTCAATTTTCAATGTTTGTGTGTGTTTCTGAAAGGAAGACGTGGACGTGAGGGTCGCCAGGATATTCAACACCTACGGCCCCAAGATGCACATGTATGACGGTAATGAACGGTTTGATTGGTACGAGATAGTCGCATGCACCACTGTACTTTTGATTTTCCAGGTAGAGTCGTTAGCAACTTCATCATTCAAGCTCTTCTGAACCAAACTCTCACCGTTTGTCAAATTTGTGATGTTCTTATGAACGGTCTATGTTTGCTGTCATTGCTATAACAGGTGTTTGCTCCAGGGAACCAGTCGCGTTCGTTCATGTACATCAGGTGAGGCATCAAACACACTCCTAGCCATCGTAAAAGGTTCAACCACACTATATATATAATTTTTTGCCAATTTTGACGTAATTACTGCTCTGTCTGATCCACAGTGACCTGATTGAAGGGATGATTTTACTGATGAACAGCAACTACTCCGACCCGGTTAATCTGGGAAATCCCGACGAATACACGATTCTCGACTTTGCGGAGAAAATCTTAGCCAGCATAGGTGAGTGACTAACTATGTCATCAGCTCCGCCAATAGATATATAAGTACCAGCATGAGAGGTGAAAGCATTCATGTGTTCTTCTGCTGTCCTATATAGACACTCTCCACTCTAATTCAGATTTTTTGGCATATCAACAACATTAATTTTCAACGGGTGTCCAAATCAACTAGCAAGCTCTAAAATTCAGATTTCCTTGGCACTTAAGTTTTAAAGGGTGCCGAAATCAACCGGCAAGGGTATGTAGTGTTTCAAGCGAGGATCTCTCTCTAATTATTTCAGAGGGTACGACATCCACCATAGAGCTGTTGCCTCCAACTCAGGATGATCCTAAGAGACGAAGACCGTCCATTGAGAGAGCCAAGGCAGTGCTTGGCTGGGAACCAAAGGTATAATGACAACTATAGTATATACTGACAGTATAAGCACCTCCAATAGCAAAGAGACCATTGATACTGACTTTATAGAGGTGTCCTTGAGCTCAATCTGGGTGCACGTGCATGCAGGTGACCTTGAAAGCTGGGATCCAAAAGACAGTGGATTACTTTCGTGCCGAACTGCAACAGCAGAAAACTGCAGAAGAAAGCTCATAACACTTTCATCACTATAATTCTCTTTTTTTCCTGTTCTTATATAATACTCATGGGGTGATTTATCATGATCGGAATGGTGCTTCATTTGTAATCAACACGTTCACTAGCTTTGTTCAGAGCTGTGCCTCAGATTTTCATGTGTTCCACACATATCACAATTCACTGGCCTTTCAGCACACTAAGATAGCACCATCTTATGAGTTATAGACAGCAGGCAATAATGTCAGGTGAGTTAATTAGCACAATTCTCAGGATTGCAGTGGGGCTTCATATTATAATTCATGTTGTAGAAAAACAAACCTATAGTGATTGTGGGCCAGTAGAGTGTGTGCATATTAGTATAATCTTTTGATAAACTGTCAGTTTTCTCTGGAGATGAGGACGAGGTCGCTGGATTTGACTGGTAGACTGCACATTGGACACATGCCGTCCCCTTTCTCACTCTCCAGCAAACTAAAGATGGACAATTAGCTATGTCAGTGTATAACAGATTCTCTCACCTCTATATTATTAGCAAACTAACATAGAAAGCTATCCGGTGTGCACTTACATTACACGTTGATATAGTAGTGTTTACCTCTGAAACTCAGTGAGAAGAGCAGGGAACTTGCAATGAGGACATTCAGTCCAGTTGTCCTTTGCCATGTGTTGCCCCTACAGGTAACAGTGTAGTCTCACAGTAGCATATATACCTCCATTACGGGGCCATACTTAATGGTGAATGGTGCAAGAAAAACGGCCGATGATCTGGTAATACTTAGTGGAATCACACTCTAAAGGACACTCAACGTCTCTCTATATACTAAGGACACCTTTTCTTTCTCAAAGAACAGTTCTTGCATTCAAAGATGACTCACTAAAATGAACACCTTCATATGCCCCCTATTTATGTCTAGGTAATAAGAGTTCCGATCTATACGGTAAAAAGCTGCTCACAGTGACGATGCAGTAGTGCAGGGTGTTCTTGCACTGAGGGCAGTCCAGGGAGGTGAGAGGGAGAGGATGGGAACAGTGGAGACATCCCCTCACCTCCTCCTCCAACTCTGTCTTGTCTGGTTTCCTGCACAGTGGACATCCACTCCTTAGGATCCCCTGGTTAACTCGTCCTTTATTCAGCACTATTTATTATTCATGGGTGTGTATATTAATGGAATAGTATGGGGTAGAACCAAGTGTCCCCTTATAGTGAGCTGTCCTTTAGCTATCCATTGGATGGCTGTTTCAAACCTGACTATCTGCTCAATCTTCTTCCTCCACTTGACGTCAATCTGCTGGCGGTACTCTGGCCTCATGAGCATCGCGGCAAAACCAAACGCAGATCCTTTCAGTCCCGCTCTCTGGCACTCTATCACTGTCGACGTCAGTATTGGTACCACGTCTGTGGGGGTACATCACACAGTGGATAAGTGACACCTCTCTACTTGTATATAGGTACCACATGTGTGTGTGTGGGTAAAACACAGTGTGTCCTATGAATAAAGGGTACACCTCTACTTTGGTTGGTTCTGTACCATTTGGGAGAGCTGTCTGTAGTGGTGAACTTACGGCTGGGGAACTTGCTGATGTTGTTGGCCACCCTAATGAGAAGTCTGGCAGCCTTCATGTGATTGCCTTGCTTCACATGCAACTGAGAGAGGGAGAGGGAGAAAGAGAGAGTGAGAGAGAGAGTAAGATTTCTTGCAGCTGTGGCTCACCTTTACTAGAACGTAGCTGTGCAGCAACATGAGGTTCTGGACCATCTCAGCTGGGATCCTGATGTCTCGGTCTCTCAGCTCTGAATAAAACAGCCACGGCCTCAGTTTCTGAACCACATTATGTTCTTCAATGATAATTATGCTTCATTTCATGGGCAACTTTCCTTCCTACATCCCCGGCCCACTTTGCAGAAACAGCCCGGAAAACAACTTGTTTTCACTGTGTGTATATGACCTGTGTACATATGGAAGAGGACGTCGTGGGCGTTGCGATAGTTTCCGGCCGTCTGATCTTCCCTGGCAATGAGTATCGCGGTCCTGGCCGCCTCGGGGTACTGCCCTAGGGCCATGTACATCTGGAACAGGTACCTCGCATCCTGTCAGCGAGAACACTAGATCATACTTACAGGGTCTGTATAGTAAAGCTTTTGGTCACAATGTGCAAGAATGATACAAAACCAGGTTTTGTAGAGCAAAACTGTAGTGCTAGTCACCATTTACCACACAGCAAAGGAGTATGCTCAATGCTGGCTACAAGCTCCTTATGGTCATTTTTCAGCCTGTTGCTTCCCCTACAGGCACTTTTACAGCCTGCCGCTTTCCCTCTCTCCTCTCCCATAGTTGTCTCTGACCTTGGGGACTGCGTCGATCTCCCCAATGAGATAGTCTGTGAGTCTCTGGACCAGAGCTTCATCTCCCGCTTCTGCTGCCTGCGGTAGAGAATAAAGAGAGCTTTAGCCAAAGAGCAAAGAGAACTTTAGTTAAAGAGCAGAAAAGAGAAGTAGAATATTACTGTCTGGATGGCCAGGTCAATGTGCTCTCCCTCGGGATACTTTGATACAGAACACTGGATGAAGTGCTCCAAAGCCTATATGAAGAAAAAAAGAATAGCTCCACTGGGTGGGATTCTAACCCACGACACTCTGCTGTCTAGGCGAGCGCTAAGCTACCAGGTCTTAACTATGGAAATAATACACACTACTGTATGAACCTTGGTGAATTCCCTGGCCTTGAGGAAGAACTGTCCGGCTCTCAAGTGATCAGAGACCCTCTGGAAGTGGGTGGCTATTCTGAGGTAGTCATCTGTAGTGGAGTCCTCTCCCACCACTTCCGCATACAGCTGCATGTGGTCGTAGCTCTGGGCCGGAGAGAGAGAGAGGCACACTCCAAAGACATAGTTCATTACAAAACCCTGTTATAGTAAATAAAAGTAAATATAAGTATGAAGCAAAAAAAACATGAGCTGTCATTTCACGTGAGAGATCTATCCTTCTCTACCTCCGCCATGGCGAAAGCTTCGTCGTTGCATTTCGACAGGACCAGGAACTGCAGAGCTGAAGAATAGTCTCCGGTCTTCTGGAAGAATCTGCGATGGGTTTTAACTCTATCACAATGTTATACTGTAAGCACTAGCTATCCACACCACACTATTGTGACTGAAGGTTGGGGTGGGTTTTTGCGTGGCATGTACCTTGCCACCATCTTGGCTCCTTCAACTGATCCAGACCCTCTCACAATCCTCACTGCCTCATCTGGACTCTTCAGCAGGTCCAGGTACACTCTGAAACACAACAGATATCCAGTGATATGATCGACTGTGGAACTTTGTGCATTATAGCTTGCCACAAGTCAACAAATGCAATTGGAACCGCTTCTGGGGCACTGGTATATAAGTTGTAGAGGTAAGAAGGACACCTCGTCTTATGCGCGTTTTGGGTGAACGGTCTATGGTGCCATAGTGCTACGGCTGCTGTTAAAGTATTCAACAACCTCATGTCTTCAAGCTCCGTATTACTATACCTGGCAGCATTGTCGTGATCGTGAGCAGACTCGTAAGCTCTCGCTGCCTCCATGTAGTGTCCGTCTGCCTCTCTGGCCTTGGCATACTGGGCATGGAGTCTCGAGGATGATACCCTTTGCAGCAGCTCCCCCACTTTATCCCTGGGGGGAAATGGGACCCGAACTTTTCGTACTTTTAGCAAGAGAATGGGAGAAGAGACTGGCCTAAACGCCATACTGAATACTTTAACCGAGTAGGAGAGTGCAGTCTTTGGGAGAATGGGCCCAAGTGTTTAGTAGTTTTAGTAACAACATGGGGGGAAGACAGGCCAACTAAAAATCCACAAAGAGTGCAGTGAGTATAGAGTCACCAGTTCTTGCTCTTGACATAGACTGTGGCAGCCTTGTCCCAGCTCTCTGCTCTGTCATACAGCACCCCAGCCTCAGCATACAGCTGTATAATTATGGAGAGGACTTATACAACGGAACCATCAAATATCAGACACACTTAGACCTGTTAAAACTGTCCTTTATATTGAGGTGTCCTTTACTCTGTGAAATTATTTTACCACACGATCCTTTATGGAGAGATTTCCTATTATTTTGAGTGTCCATTACAGGAGGCTACACCTTACTGAGAGTACATACATACATCGTATGGTAGGTGTATGTGGCTATATACCTTCATTGATTCGAGGATGGCTGCACAATCCCTTTTCAGCTGTCTGTTATCTCTGGACTGGGCCATACCGATCCCCCTGTGTAAGAGAGAGGTATGTAGCAAGAAGAGAGAGAGAGAGAGAGAGAGAGAGAGAGAGAGGTATGTCCAAGAGGAGAGAGAGAGAGGCATACAGTATAAAATAAACCCTCTTTTAGAAGTTCCTAGGACCATATAGTCTCAGGGAAGATCTTTGCTGTGTTATAGAACCCAGACCTGCGAATGTCTCCAGTTCTGATGGCCATTCTAGCGACTCCACAGCAGCACACCTCACTGTGAGCAGAGTCCTACATAGAAACAACAATAAGCCACCACCCCGAGTTTAGGTGTATATATATATACCTCTGGGGATTCCAAGATTCCTTTCTCATAGTGGAACAGAGCATTGGCATAGTCTCCACTGCGAGAGAGAGAGAGAGAGAGAGAGAGAGAGAGGTGTATGTAGCTAGCCTTCTTTGAGCAATGGTGGTTCCTTGGTTTTCTAATCTACTGCATTAGACTGAGTTGCGTACGTGAACTCCAGTTGTTGGGCATACTCCTTTGAAATGTATGGGATCTGGTCGGGAGCTAGTCTCTTGGCCAGACTGAGAGCCTGGTCCCAGTGGAGCAAGTCTCGACGCATCTGCACACCACACACACACACAGTGGTACGTTGATAATTAATAGCATACCATAGTACACAAAACCAAGCATCCACTGTCACATCTGTACACATACACAGCAGCTAGTATAATATGTACATTGGAGCATGGTTATCGAACCAAGCATTCACTGCGTTGCCATCAATTAAGCTGAACATTTCCTGCTACATATTACAGTGGTGTGTGTGTGTGTACCTCGAGTGCGGCCATGGGGTTAGAAGAGGCAAGGAGATGGTCTTGGGCCTCGTTGTACTGCTCCATGAACATTGCCAGGTGGCCCACCAGGAGATTTCTATCCTCCACGTGCTGAGGGGGTGTGGTTTCAGTTTCAATTTGGCCTCAAGGTCAGACGGAGGTACATGCAATACCTGAACTTGTTCCAGGGAATAGACCATGGCCACGTTTTTGAGGTGGCGGTAGGCACGGATTGCTAGGAGGGGAAAGAAACGTAAAGATGACGGTTTGGAGCTAGGAAACAATGTATGTAATAGTCCTGCTGTGCATACAGTGGCACATGTGTACCTAGTTCAATATCAATATGATAGAGGGCAGCTTGTGCCAGTTCTTCCCAGCAGCTTGCCACATCCAGAGCTTGGGCGTAGGACCACGCGTCTTTGAACCTGTTCGTAGATTCATAAGTCAAACGGTGCTTCATCTCGGGGAGTTGATACAGGTTACTATACCTTCTGAGGCTAATGCTTTTTTGTAGAGACACCCTCAACTGGAAGAGACAGATGTGCATTCAAACACAGCAAACTATAACTTATATGTTGCAGCCTTCATTAATTAAGTATACATACCAAAGTGGTTGGAGATTTCCATTGCGCTAAACAACTGAGAATGCTTCTTTAATATCACTATTCAGTAATAGTAACCTCTCTCCCTCCCTCTCTCTACCTGCTCTTCAGCCATGTCCTGGTCGTCTCTAAAGTTGTGGGTGCCCAGTCTGAGTATTGCCAGTTTCCCAGTGAGGCTCTGGCAGGTCACCTCTCCGTTGTACATCATCAGTGGAGTCAGTCCGAACGGTAGCTTCGTGGCTCCCACCATTTGGCAGGTGGGACCTGAGCCCACACATACACATAGAGAGAGTGAGAAGAGAGAGTCCAGGTATGGTATACCAATTGGGTATTCATTTCTTCTTGAAGATTTACGTGGAACCTCTGATTCTTGGACAACTTCATAGCACTGGGTTTAAGTGTCTTTCAATCAGAGGTGTCTTAGACATAGTAAGGTCTATGCCCCGTTGAATGTATTGGTGCTCTAAGTAATATACCTGTGACAGTGTCCCTGGAGTGTACATAAGTGAACATGCTCTCTTCATCATAGGCAAGGAAGATGTGCTGCAGAAAAAAGAAAAAAATCTCTTCCCTCCTCCCTTTGTTCCACCTCCCCCCTTAACCCCTTTCTCTCCTCACAGACAGTAGAGTTAGCTATACCTTATCTAGTGGGCAGGTCTCCCAGAGGATTCCTCTAACATTAGGTGGGAAATGAGCCAGCTCTAGAACACTGTCATCTACCTGCAGTACACCATCATACACCATACATTAGAGATGTAGACCATCATACACCATACATTAGAGACCAGACCATCATACACCATACATTAGAGATGTAGACCATCATACACCATACATTAGAGATGTCAGACCATCATACACCATACATTAGAGATGTAGACCATCATACCCCATACATTAGAGATCAGACCATCGTACACACACACGCATTAGAGATGTCATCATAGGCTTTGGATCATCAATACATTACAGTTCAGACCATTATACCCATACATTAGAGATGTGAGCAATTGACGTTCACATTTATGTAAGTGTGCATTGGATGTAGAAAACTCACTGGATTGAGCAGAAAAGCGTCGCTCTTTTCATCGACAAACACCACTCGTGTTCCACTCGCGTCTGGCCACACCCTAGCTATACCTACGTACAGCAGACAAAATGGGACCTCACTGTCTCTCCCCTCAAGTTACTTCAGAGTACGGGTAAACTAGAGGGCAAGAGGTTCTAGTAGAGTTCTCACCTACTACATGTCTGTGCTCATTGACGTACTGCCAGTCTTCAAGAAAGAAGTGCCTGAGACAACCACTCTGCAATAATATTATTACATGAAGATTTCTTCCGTTAAACGGTAAGCGATACTTTGAAGTATGTGCCACAAATACTGCACAACGGACTCATTCTGTGTTTTGTGTATTAACCAATATGGGAATCGAGTATTAAACATTGAAAAGCGCAAGTAAAGATTTTCCAAACCTGAGTGGAGTATATGAGGAAGTCCTGAGTCAGCCCCATAGACAGAATTAGCTCCTCCTTTCCTTGCTCGGGAAATACTCGACTCTCCCTCCCTCCCATACCTCCATCCACACCTGTAGGCTGTGTTCCAACAAGCAACACTTTCTCTCTCACTCTCTCTTTCACTCTCTTTCAAGACACACACACGCAACGTGTCAACAATATACACACTTACATAAGTTCCTTCAGAAGTTGAATCAATCTGTGTGAACAGAATCAACCCCGGTTCACAATTTTGACACACAGGCGCAATGTCAAAAGCTTTAGAGTAAGCTTGCATTATGCTGGTGATCTCTATACCGTGTGGAGGAGAATATGGCCATCATAGAGAGCTGCGGCATACTGACTGTTGAGGTCCATACTAATCACATTTCCCAGATAAGACTTCTCGAAAACCTCTCCTAAAGACAGACAATAGAAAAACAGCATTTCTTTCGGGAAATGATTTAGTAAAGATAGGTAATCTTGATGGTTCAAAAATGCAAATAGGCTTCCGTTTATAGTAACACTTTCTAAATTTAGCCCTTATACACTACCTCATTTCCTCTCGCCCTTGCTCTTTTCACTGCAAGACCGTTGTATACGTACCATGGTCTCTGATTTCGTAGATCCAGCAGCGATCATTGATACCCACCGCCATGTGGAACGGACCAAGAGCCAGGAAAGAAGGCTCTACCACAGTATCCATCTTTATCGCTGGCTCCTGCGAACGTAGAGTGAAGCACACACTCTTTCATTTCGCCCCAAAATGTTCTTGCTATACAACGGTTTGCGTCAAAATTACCTCTTCCACATTGTTCACAATAGTAACCTGCAATTGAGTTGAGAAAAAAATGCTGGTCACCACTGCATATGAAGTGTGGTGCACTTTTGCACTATCTTGCCACTAATTCGCAGTCTTAATGAACACACAGATTGGGTATCATACTCTCTTGCTATAAGTTACAGGTCTTTACCTGTAGAAGGGAGGTGAGGTAGGCCACTCTGGTCGAGGAGGAGTCCCCCAGTTGAGGTAGTTTGGCCAGGTACGTCAGAACACCTCCTGGAGTCAGAAATGCCAGGTCTTCGGTTTTATCTTTTCTCTTTCTAATTATATATATACCGTTTACTGTACTGACTGAGAGAAGTTGGCCGTCATCTGTCCAGTTTAGCTTATCCAACTGACCTGGAGAAAGAGCATATTACAAGTGGAACTCTATATAGGTACTACTTGGTGTGTTTGTTTTTTTACCTTTCTCTTCTTCGATATCAATGATCGTGTAGACGCCCTTGAGATCAGAGAGATCGTGGATCTTTATGCTGTGTGTGGGTGTGCAGGAAAGAGAAAGAATGAGAGAGAGAGAGAGAGAGATGATTGTAAGATCTACCAGTTATCTCCGCAGGAAGCTGCCTGGCTCAGGGATGTCGATATTGCCACGTCACCGAGACAATCTTTGTGGTTTCGAGATGAAAACAGCTCCTTTAGCACACAAACAGAAACAGAAATCAAACCACGGCCCATATATTTACACTATACTCTACCTGCCCGTGTTCGTCCTTTCTTGTGGAAATTACGACGAAGTAACCATTTGAAAACCCAATCATGATGCATCCATTACCGTATCTAAAACAGAAAAAAATGTGGAAAAATATTTTTTCTTCTCAAATTGCTCCGTGACTTACGGTCTGTACGAGACGATGTTGCCATAGCGACCCTGGAAGGCTAATTCGATGGGGTTTTCTTCACTGTCTATGTCATTTAACATCAGTGTCTTGTGAGAAATCACGGTGGTTATCTACCACAACAGAAAGTGATGGAAAAACAGCTTACTGAGTATGCCTATTGCTATTATAGGGAGTAATGTGGCACAGTGTTAGTCTGTAAGTGAGTGTACTTTTTAGCCCTGCTATAGAGAGAAGGAGCATAGTTTATTTTTACAATTGTGGCTGAAGTAATTCCGTCTTCTGCAGTGACAGTGGAGAACTGGATATCGTATGGTTCTGCCCTCAACTGAGTCTGCATAATAATGTATATAGACTCATGCTGTGGTGGTTCATGATCTGTGATAGTACTCACAGATTTGAGCGTGTCTCCTCGGCTGTTGCTGATGGTCATGCTGCGATCCTCCGAACCAAGAGCCAGCAAGTTCTGAAGAGAACATACATATACAAACAGCCGAATAGGAATAGATTGTGTTGTATGAACCTCAGAGCTCCAAGCTGCAGTCGTGATGGCCTTAGAATGCTTTCCGAGAATCGGTATCTTCCTAAATGGACAAATCACAAAATCGCACGTGAGTGGGTTCTCCTTTATGTATGTGGAGAAGTGTCCTTTATTCAGGTCATCCACAATAAGACTTTCCATATCTTTTTGTGATCTATGTGAATGCACCTGCGCGATCTGTGGTTATAGAGAAGAAGATTTCCTCTGGCAGTTCCAACCGCCAGTTGGTTGGAGGTCTTTGCCCATGCACATACTGTGAGGTGCTCCCTGCATGGAAAGAGCAAGTTTGGAAAGGAAAACGAGCACGGGGAAGAGAAAGAAGGTGAGGAATGAATTTTTGAAGCAAATTACTTCATTCCTGAGTCAAGTTTGATCACTTCAGGACTGTGTGTACTCCACAGATGCAGCATCCCTTCATAAAAAATGACACATGATACATGAAATTACTAGCTACGTATATATAATCCCTGTAATTGAGTAGCTGACCGTTTTTGTCCTGTGTGACTGCCAGTACATCTCCATCTCTGTCCCAGTCCAGACTGGTACACAGGCTAGTGGAAAAGTAGTAATTACAATGGAAACTCTTACAACGGACCCTCTGAATAAAGGACACCTCTCTATAAAGGACACCTGTTTGCATAATACATTGCAACGAAACTCAAAAAGGAACTCTCTATTCGGTTGGAGTTTCCACTTTACTATGTCCTGGGTGTGAACAGCAGTGTTCGCATAGAGAGGTGCATTGCAGGCATACCCTGGAAGTAGGATTATGACGTCATTCTGGTGCTCTCCGTGACGATCGTAAATGTTTACTACCTTGTTGACACTGAGAAAAGGACAGACATGCAGATTGCAGCTCTTTAGCAATGTTTTTCTTACCCGGACACGGCGAGGTAGTTTCCGACGGACCGCTGCCAGGCGAATTTGACTCTGCCAGAGCCGTTCACGACTGGGTGGATCTCGAACACCGCCTAAAAGAGGCGAGAGAAAGCAGTCGTGTAGCTCTTTAGCTAGCTATAAAGAGCCACCCACTAAAACTTCGCTCTGCACTACTGTTTCGGATTCTACTTGCGCGATCGCGTATAAAGCAAAAAGCAGAGTCCATATACCTTCATTTGCTGCTTTCTACTTTCTCAGAGCCCGGCTTCTCTCTTTGCCGCCAATTGCTGTGTATACTACTGTACTTTATCACCGTGGTAACCTGAAAGGTCAAAGGTCTAATAACTACCGAGGTCACGTGAGCTGCTGACTATATCGCGATCGAGAGAGATCGGAGATATGGCGTCAAGTCTCGTTCGCTGTGCGCTGCTCCTGGGAGCTATGGTGGCCGTATGCGGCGGGGAGAAGAAGCTCAGTCATCCTGCTTTCACGGGAGTCCAGGCTGGCTCGGCCGTCCTGAAGATACTCTACTGGTGAGTACTGTCCGCGAGAACGGAACCTCGAGCTCTACGTATTGCGTTCTTCTCCACAGCTACTCCTGAGGCTACCGGCGAGTGTTTGAGCAGTACGCTCAGGCACTCGCCGAAGAGCTCCCTCACGTGACATTGGAAGGAGAAAACTACCCTCCGCCTTACATCAACAGACTCCTCAGCAACGTTCTGTTCTGTGTGAGGATGGTGTTGATTGGACTCATATTGGCGGGGCCGGGGGCTCTACAGAGTTTGGGGATCCAACAGCCACCTTCTATGTACATGTGGGCTCAGGAGAACAAATTCACTGCAATAATTCTCCTGTTTGTGATTGGCGGGCAAATTGAGGGGCAACTCCTGTCCACAGGTGCCTTTGAGGTCTATCTGAATGGTACGTCACCTACCATAGCCAGCATCTCTTACTGACACATTTGTTGCCTACCTGGGATTATGCATACATATTGTGAATATTGACTATAGAGCATTTTGAAGTATACTGTTTGAGGTTCAAACCCGCGTTTCTATAGAGAAAGTTTAGTTAACAGTTTGCCTTCAAAAGACTCAGCCACCTATTAGGCAGTCAGAACACGTGTTGTCTGTCTTTTGTGTGCGTGTGTGGACTATATATAGAGAATCTGATGTGGTCAAAGTTGGACTCGGGCAGACTGCCGTCTCTGGGTGAACTAAAGTCTCTGGTGACAGACGAGGCACATCATTTCCCGACCTCCAGTGATGGTGGCCACTTTGAGCTCTAGCACACGTCACCTCACACCTCTGCAGGTAGTGTATGATATCATTATATAAAACCTCCAAATATAGGACACGTAAAACCTTTAGAATTCTCTAAGTACCAAATAGAAAATCATTCTCATCCATTGAATAAGTTGTATACAATCACTCCTGTACGACGGGTAACTGTTCTTCAATGTATGGTGCATATTCTTTCGCAATAATGTAGGTCTGGGGCAGTTGAAAATGAAGGGTTGTGGAAAAACCAAGAACTGATTTGGTCCTACAATTCCCGATGATTTGAGCAACTGTTTCTCTCTCTGCATTGTGTGTGTGTGCGTGTCTTTTGTGTTTCAAAATTATATATATTTTTTAAAATTCACATTGAATGATTATGTAATAAAACCTGCATGTTTTTTATTACAAAAAAGAATGCCCAGTGAAGGTGGCACAATAAATAATCGAAATAAATCACACAGTGGACACACACAAGAAAAAAGAAATCGTTGTATTTCACATTCAGTGTTAGTTAGTTTGTTGGTCATCTTCATTGCACTGCGTTCGCCTCCTCCGTTCTCTCTGTCTGCATGTGAATCAGCCACACGTTAACATAAATTATATGCTTCGCAGCACAAGCAATGGAAGAAGTATACCCATTGGTATAGTGGAAACTCCTTTAATGGTGTAGGATCAATCGGATAGGAAAGACATTAATTTTATTGAAGATGGCTTTTGCAAAACATCATCCACTGTACCCAAGTCATATGTGAACGCATCAAGTAAAATAGGGTGTTCACCACATTTCTAATGTTTCCCTGTGTACGCGAGCATAGCACGAGCCATACACGGGCGGAGGGGAAATCCCTTACGTAGAGCACAATGCGCGGTGCGCGTAATGCTCTCGCGCGGTTCTGGTGTGGCTAATTGTCGCCATATCGCGAATGCAAATTCTCTATTCATTCACAAACTCAAACTTGTCCCTGTGTGTCATAGCCCCTATTTTTACTTGATGCGCTCACATATATAATAGTATATATACTGCATATAATAGTTTGTTCTCTGTCTACCGTCTCACCTCATCCGTATGCACCTAGGACAGGGCTGCCCATTGAAACACTCCTTATGAAAACAGCACAGGCAGTCTGAAAGTGAAAATGAAAATGAAATCAGTATTTTAGTCCCAAACAATCTCTAAAATATTCTTGCTTACGTGAGCATTTGGCGACTTTCTTCAGTTCGAAGGGGAATATGATTTCAGACTGGCTGCAGAACTCGCACACAAACCCCTTTCCTTGACACAACTACATTACGTATGATAGAGAAGAAAGAGCCAGTAAGATGAGGGGAAGGAGGGTGGTACTTACGGGACAAGATTTGACGTGTTTTATAGAGTCTTGCAGTAGCGATCGGAGGTATCGTAGTTTTAACTTGATCTGCGTGAGAGCGAGAAATGAGACATACTCTTATCAAATGTTGCACAATCGCGTGTCTTACTTGTAGGAAGTCGTCAATGGAGTACGTGTGCACGTCTGCAGTCCATGGAATGTAGCCATCGAACGTAGCAGTCAAACTGACAGAAAGAGTAACACACACACTTTTCTCAAGTTTTTCACATTAACTCCTTCAACACCGAACCTCTGTGCCTGTCGACAGGTTTTTAGATACTTTTTCACGGCAACTAACTGCATTCTCATATCCTGGAAAAGAGGACCCGTTTCATTACAACGAAATTACTATATTATGTAAGTTGTGCAAGTGTACAGTGTCAGCTTACCCTGGCCTGGGCTAGTAATGGTACAGTGGTGTAGATCTGAGGGATTAATGTTGTTGAGATCAAACACTGGTTCGTAGTGAATCCTCTCCAGCAGGTCGTGGGCAAAGTTTGATACGTAATACCTGCAATACACACACACACACACGTGGTGACATGACGATAATGGTGTGAGAAGGAACTTTGGTGAATTGAGGATAAGAATTAAAAGCACATCAAGTAGGAATAAAGCGCAGTTTGCTACTTTCCTTGTGTCAAGGCAAAGGAAGCATAACGAAACCCAGGACAACTCTTTTCTTCCAAGGAAAAAAGAGCTGCCCTGGGCGGGATTCAAACACCCATGACACTCTGGCATTCCAGCTGGATCACTACCACAGACAAGGTTTACTCATTCAACAAGACGTCTCAGCAACAGTGTTGAAAAAGTACATATATTATAATTGGGATGAACATACTTCTTAAAGGACCAGCGATGCAGGACATAGGCAGGTACGATGGACGAAGCGTTTGCAATGACACTTCTGGCAGAAGTACTTGCCGGTGTAGTTGCAGAACCGGAAATGACGTGCTTGGGACGGTTCTTGCCTCATGCCACACCCCGTGCACCGGTACCCCTGAGCCGCCAGGTGCTTCATCATATTCCTGGGATGACATCATAGTGACATCATTATCACTGTACTATATACAGCTATATATAGAGGCTCAGGGGATATTTCAGGGGATATTTCATAATATTCCTGGGATGACATCATAGTGACATCATCATGACTTTACTATATACAGAAAACCTTACTATATAGAGAGAGGCTCAGGAGGGGATATTTCGTAAGGTGCAAAAATTTATGCCACGTCTCAATAGAATCTCACCTTTGAGGAGTTTTGATGTGGAAGATGATTTGGGCACGAGGCGGAGCCCAATCCTTGCTGCCTCGAGTGGGTGGATTGGACTGGAGGGAGAGGGAATGCAAAAAAACTTTTTGATTGCTATTCGTATATATGTCTGTAAAAGAGGCCTACTGTAGTCACAGATTTCTGGAGGTCTTCATCTTGTCTCAGTGAACAGAGGAAATCAACTGGAAGGGTCAGCACCTACGACCGTTAATACACCACTCCACTTAATACACCACTGGATAGTGTGCTGGACAAGTATTTGTGACACAATCGCCGCTGTATACACTGACAGTGGAAGTCAGTGGACTATATAAAGGCCATGACAGCAACGTTGCATGAGACAAGGTTGCAAAAGTATGGGGCGTGATGGACCATGCAAGTGAAATAGAGAGCATTTCTATTGCATGTATGCAACAGAGGCTGCATGCAAGTTCTCCCAACGATTGTGTTCAATAAGTATCCACTGAAGACGGCCACCCATCATACCCATACATTACAAGTATGTATCCAGCTTTGTCTGATACAATAAGTTGTTGCATATCTCGCGGCCTTACAGTGGAACTGTTTCCAATGTCCTCTGACTCGACTCCAGAGTACTGTGCGGCAATAAACTGAAGTAGTCTCTGAGCAGTTGACTCTGCAGACTGGACAGCGCTGCCAGCGTTCCTCATGAGGTCAACCAGACTGATCTTTGGAGTCGACTTTTGCAGGGAGAACTTGTCCACTGAATCTGCACACGCAGAATGTGTGTATAATATAATTATACTACAGTTGAACATCTTACATATCTACTTCTATAAATAGACACTGCTGCTATATTTACCACTGACCTTCGGTGGCAATAGAGGAGAGAGAGCCCCACGATCTCGGGGGTGGCGAGGTCGTGTAGAGGTCAGAGTTCGGAGCTGCGTCCATTGGATCGGGAGGGGGTGTGGCTTGCTGGTCTCGCTCGCCTCGAAGTGTTTCCTGTCTGGCTTCAGTTGTGTTGGCCTTGTACTGAGGAAGAGAGAGAGAGAGAGAGAGAGAGAGAGAGGGGGGGGGGGCGTATAAGAACAGCAAATTGCAGAGAAAGCTTGCTTGGTCAACTATACAAACAGTCCACAAACTTTTGCAAAGCAACTTGTGTGGGGGGAGCTCTTAAACTGAAATTGCAAAAGCTATTCTTTTTTGCTAATGAGTTTGCCACTAATTATCATATGACATGTCAATCTATATTCGTTAATGCTAATGAAGTATCTCCCACAGATACCTGCTCAACAATGGTGATAAGGGCCTCTGAGAGGGAGAAATGAGAGTTCTCTCGAGACAGCTCGTCCGTCACTTGGAAATAGTCTTTCTGCCCACTTCCACTGGAACGGTCCTTATGGGAATCTGGCGACGGCTTATTCAGTGCTGGAGACGAAAGGGTTAAATAAGGGTTAATGTAAGAGAGGGCTTACTGAGGCTTGCGACCATTGGTTGCGATCGAGATCTCGTCTGACGAGCCCTATCTCTCAAATCTCGTGCCGGAGACGTCTGACGTCTGGAATTACCCGGGGCCTCCCTGTCTCGGCTCCGATAATCATCGTTGTTGGGGGTGTGGTGATTTTTGTGACGAGGGCTGGTGGGGGGGAGGGAGGAGAGGGCAGGGGTGGAGACTCCATGCGTCATCGATGAAGTCGTAACCTGTGGATTAAACTGGAATACTTGTGTCTCTCCTTTGGGGCCAGACGAAAGAGGGAAATTGATAGAGTATGAGTTGTAATGGCGAGGAGAGTTTGCACTGGAGATAAGATGTCCAGGGGTTTTATTGACAGTCCGAGTGAGGGAATGAGAGGGAGAGGCTGGGTTGTCTCTGCCCGTCTCAGATTCCAACGGAGTTCCACCGTTGCTAGGGAGAGGAGGGGAAGAAATGGCGGGAAACGCAGTGGTGACGGCTTCACCGATTCGAAATTTCGCCGGGCGAGGGACGGACATGTCTGCACCGCAGAATGATACACCAGAGTCGATGGTCACAGTCACTCCAACACTATCCGAACTGCTCGTCCTCTCAGAGTTAGAGCGACTTGAACTTCCATTTCGAGGAAGATTCAGGGCATTGGTAGAAGTATTAGCTGCTTGGGGTTGTTGGTCAGAGTGTCTCACACCGTCTGGAGTGTTTCCGTAGCCGCTGTCGGGGGAGAAGGCGAGTTGGACAGAGTTTCCAGGGTACGGGAGGACATCGGTGGGTGACTGGTCTCGGAAGACTCGACGCATGCTCCCTCCTGGCCCTGCTACTAGGACACCAGGTCTGAGATCAGTCGGGGTGGCATCTGCCGAGAGGGTATTGGGTGGACTTGTGGTGTAGACAGAGAGAGGTCTGAAGTTGTTGTGTTGTGGTGAAGTCGAGGTGTGGGGGAGCGTCGAAGAGCGGTCGCTGTCTCCCGCGCGAGACTCAAACTCCAGTATACCTTTCTTCATCAGCTGCTTGTTGGCGTTCAGAAACTTTCCGTTGGTCTTTTCTCTCTTCCCTCCCCCTCCTCCTCCCTTTCCTCGTCTCTTCCGGCCTTCCTCCTCGCTCTCTACGCCTTGTTTCACGGTTCTCAGAAGAGCAGAGGCGGTGGCTGGCGTGCGCTCGGGGCTACGAGCCCGCGGGTCTCCAGCCTCGTAGGCGACTCCCATCGCCGTGCTCCGGACAGCGGTTCTAGTGGTGGAGGCACCGAGGGAAGCGGCCATGGAGAGCGAGTTGCTCGGGCTCCCACTTGCGGCCAGGCTTCCCCCACTCTCCACCGACATCGTCGTCCCGTCTAGTCTGCCGTCGAGAGAAAACTGCGATCGATCGCGTGACTTCTCATGTGATCCGGGGGGCGTATCTGCTGCAGCCCAGTTTTTTTGCACCCACTTAGCGTGCTTTTGTGCAAGGGCGTGTGAGTTTCCGCAGCATGAGTGCGAATTACTCTTCCAACGAGACGACGACTAACGACTGCAGCCCGCTCTTCTCTTCGGACCTAAAATGCGTGAGTTGTGCAGAAAATAACAGAAGCCTCGCTAGCAGCTACAGAGCTAAGTAATTTTTTACTACTGCAATACACAGGATGTAATCCTCGGGTTCAGGAGAGCTGTAGGGATCATCTCCATTCTCTGCTGGTATATACACAAACTTTACTGAATCGTAATTATTTTTTTGGTCGCACCGTTTTGCAGCATCTTCATCATAACTGTCATTATCCTCTTCAAAAAGTATAAATTTTTCCCACAGGTTTGAAAAATTATGAGATTTCATGTATTATAATTATATATATACCATTTTTATCCGCAATTGAAGCGACTGATCCTATACCTGAGCGTTTCTGCTTTATTCCAAGCCATTGGCTATGTAATGGTTAGAGAATCCTCCACGATTTGCTCAAGTGTATGCTTTACAAACCAATCAATGCGACAGGGCGACTACCACGTTGCGAGGAATGCTCGAGAGGGCCAGGCATCCTTTGAAGGTTTCTGCATCTTTCAAGGCTACTGGGTTCTCTTTTTCGGTAAGAGAAAAAAGTGTTTTTTAACACCTCAACACTCCTTGTGAATTGATTGATGTTTGTCTTCATTACTTGAGACTGGGTGTCTTTGTTGTGGGTGTGCTGTATCACTTTCAACGTCTTCCTGACTGCTGTCTTCTCACGCACGGGAGAAAGATTTGAAAAGTACGGCCAAAGATTATCATTCCGTGATAATTCTAAACACTCATTTCTCTCTGCAGGTTTTTCTTCATCGTTGTGTTTGCAATTTCCCTCACCATCAGTTTTATCCCTTTCATCAAGAGCACATACGGACCTGCTGGACTGTGGTGGTAGGACACATAATGTTCCCAGTACACAGTTGAGATTATAATTCTCTCCCTCTTTCTCTTAGCTGGATCAGATCAACAGACAACGGAGAGCCCTATTCTCCTGGCATTGCAATGCAGTTCTCTGTGTAAGATGTATAGCTAACCTCATAACTCACCATCATGCATAGTATTGCTCAGCATCGCCTACACTTGATCACACAGTTCACACTCACTCTTGATCATACTGTTCATCCCAAATCTTATCAATGTGTTCAGGTTCTACGTGCCGTTCTGGATCTCCTGCATAGTCCTACTCTGCATGATAGCTACTGCTTATGCATTTGTCCGTAAAAACGTAAGTCCAGTGTGTTACATTACCACCGACCTGTACTTCAGTGTTATATCCCATAATTGCAGAGACATCGATATGAAGGTCACGATCGTTCAAACGATATTCAAATGGTATAGTAACGATATTCATCCTCACTCAATTAGCTAACTCATGCATGACCTCTTTAGAAATTGTGGCAGGAGGAAATCAGGCCTCTCATGTTCTTTCCACTGATATACATTGCTATCCTCATCTTCCCATCCATCAACAGGTATAGCTATACTTATATTCCATAGTATAATATACAGCTCTGAAGGACATTATTCAGTACAACCTATCTATATGAAGCATCCAATCCCGAGCTCTGTATATATGCTTCAGACTCAGATATGCATTTGGATATGAGGCTGAAGATGCACCAGAAAACTTCTTTTTCTGGTTCATGCACTCTGTGACGCTCACCCTGCACGGTAAGTCCATTAAATAAGCAATTGGTATATAGCGGCAATGTTTAATAATCCAAACTTAGGCACAGTCTATGCTCTTGTCTTTGGATGTGACCGCCAGACCATGTGGCGAATGAAATGGACTGAAATCAAGGTTCATCACACCCCGATCCATGACTCGGGCTACATGTATCAACATTAGACTGTTACAATGATACTATTACAGGGAGCTATGATGCAGTGGAGGATGAAGCCCAAGGTCACTGAGTATTCAATAGGGATCAAGAAAACCAGAGAGGCAAGCGTCTACCAAACGTCATCTTATCGGACAAAGGAGGACAGCATTTGACATACACACAATAATCTTCTTAGTGCAGCCTCAGTTTACAGCATGTCCAATTATACGGCATAGAAAGCAAGTTTTCTCATTGCGAAGGGATATATATACAACAGAGAAAATATTTTCATTATAGCTTGTTGACTTTGCCATTCTGGCAAGCTACTGAATCTCATGAGTAGATTTATAGACATTATTGTCAACACACTAATGATAGGCGATAAAATGACACACAAGTAAAGTGCTGCTGCAATAAATAAGAATAACAAAAATGACTGAATAAATCTTGGAGTGTTTGTGTAATTATAATCCTGTGAAACTGGTCTTGGTAAGTGATTGCTCAGCTGAATCTTTAGAACACCCGTTTTAACTTTTCGTAAGTGACAAAAAACTAAGTCAATTGTTAAGGAAACACCACTGTAGCTAGAGCTAACGAATGAAAATTTCAAGTGTGCAGGTAAATCTACCACACATTGTAGGATGTATAAGGATACAATAATGTTCCAGGGCCCTAGTCTGAGGTAAGCTGGAATGAAACCTCGATATAGTGCGGCTGGTCCTTCTGTTCTCAATGTCTATTTGGGGAAACACAGCACACAAGACAGTAAGATTATACCATGTAACTGCCTCTTACCAAGGGGGATGTAAGGTCTACGGGAGTGTAACTGCCTCCTTACCAAGGGGGATGTAAGGTATACCATGTAACTGCCTCTTACCAAGGGGGATGTAAGGTATACCATGTAACTGCCTCTTACCAAGGGGGATGTAAGGTATACCATGTAACTGCCTCTTACCAAGGGGGATGTAAGGTATACCATGTAACTGCCTCTTGCAAGGGGGATGATAAGGTTATTGCTACTGGTACTTATGTTGCGTTAAAAGGGTTGATACTTGTGTTGCAAACGTCCAGTAATGCCATTTGCACACCACACTACAACACCCCAACAACCAAACAACCCCACAACCACCACAAACACACCCCCACACGCATACACCCCACTCCCCCCCGCCACCTCCCCCCACCCCCTAACACACGCCCACACACCTCCACCCCACCCGCACCCCCACCACCCCCACCCCACCACCACCACCCCCAATCAAACACCCCCCCCCCCCCCCCACCCCACAACAAACGAACCACAACCCCCCCCCCCCCAAGCCCAAACCCCCCAACAACACCCTCACACAAACCCACACCACCACTACTCCTCCTATGTGTTTGAAACTCCTTCAAATACAGTTTATTGGATTTATTGCATAGACTGTTAACTTGTGTCATTCCCTATTTTTTTACTCTTCGTGGTCATCCTTCGACTCTGCCTCCCCCACACAGAGCAACTCTATTGTAGATAGGGTTGGAAGAACTTACTTTTTATTACGTCAATTGGGAATTGGAGCTGCTTAGCCCAATTAGCCCAGCTAGGAAGCTGTCACTAGATGGTGGAAGAGGACGAATTCCAGTAGAGGAGTAAGAGATGATAGAGAGAAGAGCGCATTGAAGATTCTAACGGCTATAAATATTAGCTCACTAAGTGCTTGAAAGGGTGTCTACATTTAACCACTGCGATGAACTGATCTTTTGAATAGTCGTACTACGGAAGCTCACCCGTCCACCACCATAGCTCCCTTTTTTGCAGTTGGACCCCAACTCCCTATCACACAGACAGAGACCAAGGGCAGAAGCCCATAGGAGGCTATATATCTACTACTATAGTTACTCACTCTGTATAGCATGTACACCTCTTTCTTTCCCTGTTAAACTGCTGAAAGTACTTTTTGCACCGCTTTTTCTCTGCGAGTGATGCCCGCTTCAGACGCCTCTGCATCTAAAACCTAACACAACGAAACCACCAACACCAAAGCTTTCATTTCACACCGCGTTCCAACCCGTCTTCTAAAAGGTCATAAGTCCTTTTCCTTAGAACTCCGTGGGTTTGGCAATGGCTGAAGCGACGGCTCCAACTATCTCCCGGCCAATAGCCTTCATCAGTACTGGACTCTTCTAAGGAGTAGAAAATAATTGTTGTGTATATATCGTAGCACTGCAACACTTCTTCGATCAGCTAATGGAGTCTGAAGGTGCCGCTTTTCGCGTGGTGGGTATTATAGGATGCAACGTGAAAGTGCCAAGCATGCAATATCGAACATGTGAAAAGCACATAATGCATTGTGAAGAACACATGCACACCACGACAAACAGTGGTAAAGACTTGGCACTTAGCTTCCACACTAGCTTCCTTGATGAATAAATCACATGCTTTCTACAAGACCTATAAGACTGTTGACATACCACTGGAAAACTCCCTTAGTGGTATT